CGCCTTCAGCATCTGCTGGCCCAGCAGGAGACAAAACTCCTCCTGAAACAGCAGCAGCTTCATCAGTCTCGACTAGATTACAATTGGTGAGTCCTGCCTTTCCTTCCAGCAGTGCCTGTAGCTTAGAGAACTTGCAAAAATGTATGCATATATTTATAGAGATTTTTAAAAGCATTTTATTTTAAAATAATAATAGATTGACAGGAGTTGCAAAAATAGTACAGAGAGGTTCCATATAACCTTCACCCAGTTTCTCCCAGTGACATTTTATGCAACTATAACACATTATCAAAGCCAGTAAATTAGCGTTGGTGCAGTGTGTATGTGTATTTCTATGCCATTTCTATCACATGTGTGGATTTGTGTAACCACCACCACAATCAAAATACAGAACTATTTCAGCACCACCAAGAATTCCTTTGTACTGCGCTGTTAGAGTCACTCTCTGCCCCTACCACCTTAACCCCTGAGGACCCCAATCTGTTGTCTATTTCTATAATTTTGTTATTTTGGGAATGTTATATGAATGGAATTATACAGTGTGCAAAATTTTGCTATTGGCTTTTCTCATTCAGCACAATGCTCTTGAGATCCACCTAGGTTGTCACATATATTGTACCATTTGACTTCTGAATAATATTCCATGGTCTGTATATACCATGACTTGTTTAACCATTTATCCATTAAAGGATAATTTGGTTGTTTTCAGGTTTTGTCTGTTTTACTAACAGAGCTGCTATGTACATTTTTATGCAAGTTTTTGTGTAGCCTAAGGGCTTTCATTTCCACTAGTGAAAGCTAGGAGCATGATTCCTAAATCATATGGTATCATATTTAGCTTATACCACATTTAGTTTAAAATACTCTTCTACCAGTAACGTATGAGAGAGCGTTTCTCCACATCCTTACTGGCATTTGGTATTGTCACAAATTTTTATTTGACAGGCTCTAATCTGTGTGAAGTGATATTTCACTGTGGTCTTTAGTTTGCATTTTCCTAATCGCTAGTGATATTGAATAACTTTTCATTTGCTTGTTTGCCCTCCTTCCATCCTTTTGGGTAAATTGTGTCATTAATACCTTTTGCCATATCTAATTGGATTGTTTGAGTTGTTTTACTGTTGAATTTTAAGAGTTCTTTATATACTCTAGATATAAGCCCTTTGTCAGATTGCAAGTATTTTTTTCCCATCTATAGCTTGTCTTTTCAGTCTCTTAAAAGGATCCTTCACAGAGCAAAAGTTTTTAATTTTGATAAAGTTTGATTTTTTAAATTTTTATCCTGGTAGACATTTTTCCAAAGAAAACACAGATGACCAACAGGTACTTGAAAAGATGCTCAACATCACTAATCATCAGGTAATTTAAAACAAAGCATGTAAATCAAAACCACAATGAGATATCACCTCATACCTGTTAGAATGGTTTTTATCAAAAAGACAAGAAACAACAAGTGTTGGGGAGGATATGGAGCAATGGGAATCCCTGTACGTTCTTGGTGGGAATATAGAGTGGTACAGCCATTGTAAAAAGCAGCACTAATATACATTCCCACCAGAAGTGCACACATGTTCCCTTTTCTGCATATCCTTGCCAACACTTGTTATATTTATTGTCTTTTTGATAATAGCGATTCTGACAGGTGTGAGGTATCTCACTGTGGTTTGATTTGCATTTCCTTGATGATTAGTGACATTGAGCATCTTTTCATGTGCCTGTTGGCCATCTGTATGTCTTTGAACAAATGTCTATTCAGATCCTCTGCCTACTTTTTTAACCTGGTGGTTTGTTTTTCGTGTGTTGAATTGTATGG